TTTGTCATATATTTTTTAATGATTCCAATATGTAATAAATTTGTAACAAAATATTAGAAATGTATGTAAATCAGTATTATCCTATTTCAAAGGAGATAATTATTATTATTAATAATATTTCGGTGTAACTCAGTCAATATAAATACAGTCTGAGTGAATTTGAATCGACACATTTTGTGACTGAAAAATGACGGAATTTTGAAAATAAGGTTATTAGTTTGTCTTCTTATTGTCAATATCAGGAATAATAAAATCTTGATTAACTCTTATTATATCTCGGTAGTTTTTATCATCGTTTTACAAGATAACACGAATGAAATGATCGATATAACCACTCTCTTGAGAAGGGAGTAATAAGTTAATCTCTTGAGTGGGGTGTACCACACGATGGAAATTATTTCAGAATATTGTTCTCGTTCATGTTCGAATGAGTTTCCAGAACGCGTTGATGAAATGCTACCGCATAGCAGTCAATAGCATTAGTGTGACGAATGGTGTAATGTAAATTCTATGTATGGAGACATCTATTTCGAGCCTGACTGGAACTGTGTGATACATGCTCACAAACTTATCAGAAGCTGAATTAATTGCAAAGTTTGCGAGAGATGACTACCAAATCGCACAACTACCGTAACTTTCTGTTCTCGGTTGGAACTGTACTTAACGGCTTATTTTACAAGATTACTGAGGTGGAAATTTGCTCAAAAAATATTGTCAGTCAATTTTGTCTAGCGAAGGAGCCTTTTAGAAACGTATCATGAAGAAACAAATATCAACAGCATGAAAATTATTAGCAAGTGTAAAAAAGAATGTGATAGAAAAATTCAAATAAGATCGTTCTAACTTGCGGGGGATGGATTTCCAGGGTCGAAAATAGTTTTTCATAATTTTCTTCGAAACTAAGCCTCCTATAACAATAATACTGATGATAATATCAACATTTATTTTCCATAAGATATAAATATGTATTGGATTAGCCAGAATAGGTAAGGTTCGGTGAGTGGGACTATTCGAACCTGCACCGAAACCCGCAAGGGTTTATTTTGGCTCACACCCATTTACACTCGACCAAATAAACCCAGCTTCTTAACGAAGCCATAAAATGGTTTTTGCACGTCAGCTACACCTGACGATGCCTTAGATTCAACTCTGCAGGGCTTTTCCGCGTCTGGTTATGGTGAATCATTACTTGAGCGCAAACGTTTGCTTACGTGCTCATGCGGGGGTTTTATCCTCCACCTGAAACAGATTCTGCGTACCCCGCTCAAGGATTTGGTGCTAAGCGGTTTTATAAGGTACCCCGCTCTTGAGGAGACGACTTAGTCGTTTCCTGGCTGTATCACCAAACCTTTTTCTTAGGTTCAGTTATTGGATTAGGAGTTGAAGAGTTTAGAGTCTCCTACTCCTGATCAAAATTTGCAGGGAGGTCAGTTGGAGTCGTAGGCTCGACAAACATCTCTCCTGCAGACTTAGCGTCAGAAAGAATTTCTCAGTTTACTCTGTCCATAAACTCTCATGAGTAGCTAGGGGAAGAAGGTCAGTCATGGCAGAGCCCCGCATCACCGTGACAAGGCGATGCTACGACGAGAGGGCGCCCGGTATCTCGGAGGTTACGTAGAGACAGCTGATAGGCCCAGTGTCATTCATATTCTCGGAGCGGATACACACATCTTAGGATTAGGTCATCGTTGAGATGCCATTCAGTTAGGGAATAACCTGACCACTACCTAACCTAACCTAACCTAACCTAACCTAACCTAACCTAACCTAACCTAACCTAACCTAACCTAACCTAACCTAACCTAACATAACCTAACATAACCTAACCTAACCTAACTTAACTTAAACGAACCTAACATAAACTAACTTAACCTCACCTAACCCAACCTAAACTAGCCATAGAAAATGAAATTGAAAGTAGAGAAATGAAGGAAAAAGAAAACTTTCAATAGTGAAATGAAACTTTTGCATTGATACCAAAATACCAAGAAAATATTATTATTTCCCAGGTTTATATGACGGAAAGAGCAACAGGAACTTATCAGTGCAGCGCATCCAATCCACACGGTGAACTGATAACGATATTCAATTTATTGATTGGGAAGAGACCAGAACCACCTCTGAAAGTAGAATTGAGGAATTACACAAAGGACTCACTTACTCTGAGCATAGAACTTCCAGTGGTGATTCCAGAAGACATCGAGGAAGGAATGGAACCAAAATGGTTGGTGGTGCAGTATAGAAAAAACGGATCTGAAGAGTGGAATTCCAGAGAATTCAATATTTCTCAAGGTATTCATTCTAGAGCCAAAATAACTCATGAATTATGATCATTTCATCCTACAAGCGTCTTCTTCAACCCATAGCGATGACTTTTCAGTAAAATAAGGTGCATTTTTGATAAATATCCTAGAGACAGTCCAAATTTTGTATACATAAATATTTTATACGTGAAATGATCAGTGGATTTGGAACTCCTGGTGTGAAATGAGTTTCTCTAACCAAGTTAGTGCCATAACAAGATAACTTCTGATTTCTGAGAGCTGATTGCTGCAATTCAGTGGTGAGAAATCAGTTTCAAAGTAATACATTTTTATAAATCCTGGTTATCAGAAACCTGTTAGCAAATCTCTTATAGAATCGGAAGATGAAGCATAAGTTTTAAGATGTTGGCAAATCAGAACATCGGTGCTTTCATGAACATTGGTATTATATTGGCTATTGACTGGTTTTGGTCCACTTGAAGGATTTCAAGGGAGCTCGTAAAAAAAGTTTTGGCTTTCTACTTCTCCTTCTCCACACAAAAAAATATGAAAATTTTACAAGTTTGTTTGGAATAGAATTAGTTACATCAATCAATTTATTCATCTGTGACTTTATTGAAAAAATCAATATCATATCAATTATTTGAATCCTCTTTCTAGATTATGCAACAGAAGAACCTGAGGATTTACTTACAACGGAGGAAACTTTATATGAGTTGGAAGGTGAGTTGGAAATATAAATAGTAATGTTCAAAACAGTTCTTGGTGAGTTTTTTCAACACATCCCATTTTGGCAAATGAAGTTAGTCAAACAATTTGATATATCGACTAGTTTTACAAAACTGACTTCAGTTGCTTCAATCGTTAATGTGCGGATTATCTGTTTTCACTTCCAATTAGATAATACTGAAATAATATGAGTTATGAACCCGAGTTCACTGATCCAGCATCACACAGGGATAGAGTTACATCCGCTGTTATAGACGCGACTATATACTAGGTCGACAAAACAAAGCTTATAAATAAATGTTAATTTGATCAGGCACTCTTGTTGCCTTCCTTGAAATGTAAATGTTGTATTTGTCCAAAATGAAGTAGTTTTGGAAAAGTATTTTCGTATATCGCATACATAACTGGCGCAGTCGGTAGGATAAGTGCAGTTTTTCGTCGGAAATACATTGAAACCGATTTTGGACTAGAAAAACTTGAGTTCTTACTCTTCGGCACTCATCGAGACATTCAGTGACTTTCTTTATTCCTGTGCACCAAGAAGGGATTGAGTTAACCTGAGAGGCTTGAGGAGATGTCCAGACGTTTCAAACAGAGCAGATGAGCTGGTAGCAGAATTACTGGAAGATTGAACTACATTGGTGATTCCGAGTATCCCTCTTGTTTTCGTCTACGGGATGGAGGAGTTACGAACCCGAGTTCGCTGACCCAGCATCACTCAGGGATAGAGTTACAACCGCATTTATAGACGCGACTGCATGCTAAGTCGATGAAACAAAGCTTATAAATAAATGGTAATTTAATAATCAGGCATTCTAGATGCCCTGCTTGAACTTTAAATGTTGTATTTGTCTAAAATGAAGTCTTTCCAAAAAAATTATTTTTCGTAAATCGCATACGTAAATTATGATTTTCTCAAAAAAATAAGTGCCTTGTGAATGAGGTATTGAGTATTGATTCTGAAGAAATCTACGCTGAAAAAAATGTGACCTTAATGTTATGTTTCCCAATTGCCACCCGGATCAGTATCGAAAACAAAACAAATTCATCATCCTGCAATTTCTGATCTATCGTAGTCAAGGACCATGTAGAGAAGAGAATCCAAACTCCTGATGGCTTCAACACTGCAATAGACCATGACCTCGTTGTTGTCGTGAAAGGACAATCGTGGAAAGTACGGATTTGGAATGCAAATTCTTATGGAGATGCGTCATCTTTGGGATCTTCACAGCTTTACAGCTTATCTTGAGTCCAAACAAGTAGAGTAAGATCGAAACAGCAAGCATATTCCTAGCAGTAATATCCAGATGGTGCAGGATTCTTCCGAGCTGTATATTTTTTTCGTGATTTCCGCATTGCTTTTTTTCCAGATAGACCGCTGCACATTTTCCTATCCTGAATTTTATAGCAATAGCATGTGTGTAATTTTTCATCACCTTCGAGAACTGATGAGGATCTTTTTCTCCAGAGGCATACAGTTTGGAATCATTCTTATGAAACGAATTGGCGACCTTATACTTCCCGTTTCCAGAGATGCCACAATTGTACCTTCGATTATTTCTGAGCGCAGCGGATGATAGCAACAGTGAGATGCAGATAAAATGGCTGATATACATCCTCTCTGAAAGTGACCTGCTCTGTTTGGACTGTAGCCTGATCAGACGTTATGGTGAAGCAAGTTCTCCAGAGCGGTGTCAGTCATTCAAAGCATATCACTATTTCATCGTGTTTGGACTGTAGCCTGATTAGATGTTATGGTGAAGCAAGTTCTCCAGAGCAGTGTCAGTCATTGAAAGCATATCATTATTTATCCTGTAACGCAAGGCATCTGAGCAAATGCAAGATCGACTCGTGCTCATGCGGTAATCGAAACAGACTATAGAAAGGATATGCTCATACTGTGTTGAATCCTGCTCATCTATCGATGAGCGTGACACTTCTCTTTGACTGACTCTCGGCAGAACAATTCGAGATCGGCTGCTCTCCATCCAGCCATGAGTTGAAAAACGCCGGTCAAATTGCGATGGATGCTTGATAGTTTTGTCCAATAATAAGTGTTCAGGCTATCCGGGCCTGGAACAGCAAAGTTCTTGGAACCCAAAAGTCTCTTCAAAAGTAATCCGGTGTTATCGGGTTGTGCAGTTCATTCAGCTCAGACTGTCGAACTAGTCTAGGGCTGGAGTATCTAATTCGAGTTGCTGCGGGTGTTCATGAATGACCTCTCAGAGGAATTCTACCTGATTAGCGGTAGGCGGATTATCCAAAACATGCGGCGTTCGGAATAAGCGAATAGGCTTCTCGCGGAACGTCCGCTATACTTCTGCTCATCTCACGAGTGACTTTCCAGCCGCCACTAGCATTTGTATCTCATCAAGGCAGTACTGTTTGGTGGTCAGCAGCATGGCTTGACCCAGAGTGTGATAAATGTGGAAGGTCTGTTAACCTGCCTGGATGCGAGACGCGTGTGGTCTCGCTAACTTGATCTTAGCCTTCATCTTGTGTATCTGCCGTTCAATCTTTCCAAACCGCAAAAAGTGGGACTTTGTCCATACGATTCGGAAAACGATTGATCGACGTGATTTCATCCATATTATCATATTCGTATTTTTTTTTCAGAAATCCTATACCTTTCCGACCTGGAGAAGAGCACAACATACGAAGTGATTGCAGCTACGAGAAACGTTGCCAGTATGAGCGACTACACGAATTCCAGCTATTTCGAAACCTCCGAATCGGCTAAAGTTCGAACAAACTCAGTTCTAAATGTGATTCTCGTAAATTTATTAATTCTGTTTGTGTCCACGCCAGCTTAAAAATGTCTGTGAAATGTTTAGGTAGAATATGAAATTATACCTCATAACCTGCGGTTCATGTTCGGTGTAACTGTGGGGGAGAGCAAATATAATATATTTTCAGGGTGTCACGCACAGCATCAGGGTTGATTTATCTTGATAGTCAATGGGGTGGATTTGTTCTGAGAGTGAAGGGTTGTTATTTTTCCGATAATATAATCAATTGGTATTGTTGCACTATGACGACTTGAATTATTTTGAAAAATGATAACAATGAACAGTAGCAACAATAATAAAATTCGTGATATTTGGGTTTGGTTGGTTGAAATATTTTGTCGACTGACATTCATAAGTATTCAATGATTATGAAAATGGGAATGGGAAAATGTTGGAGTCAATAGTTCACTACTATCTTTCGATAAAATCAATCCGGTACATGGCTTTGATTCACTGAAAACACAAAATATGGTATCACAGTCACATAAGAGCAAATTAGGTGAGAATTTTTTTTCCATGATGGAATTTTCCTAACTATATCTGAAATTGAATTGCACGAATTTCAAAACACAACAAAAATATATTTTGGAATAGATTGACAATATTGTACTTTCAAATATTTCTGGTATCTGGTATTTGTAGAATAGGGAGGGTTAGTGTCGAGTCCCAGCACTTAGGCCACATGTGACCCATTGTACATCCTCCCGAGGAGTTGTCCTCCTAGGTCATCGTCCATCCTGTCCTGTCCAGGAAGGTGAACAGGTTCCTAGGAGATATCTCCTTTATATTGGCAGGACTCGCCAAGACTCGCCAAACACACACCCTCTTTGGCAACCTTAAGGTGTCTCACGGTGGCCTCTGCCAAGGTTTTGAAAGGTGCAGCGATATTACTGTCGTTGCGTGGCTTCTTCAAAATTCTTGAGGTTCCCTTCGTGCACAAGTGAGGGAGCTTTCCTGCAGGGGTAGCCAGTTCCATGCTTTTAATCAAGGCGGAGCTCTTGACGCCTGCCGCAGGAAGTGCCCTTGCTGTTGGAGGTGATCTGCTAGGTCCAGCCTCATTCGAAGCGGTAGATTGGCGTGGACATTTCTGTTCATCCCCAGCCACCGCCTTAGATTGAGGTGGGCACTTCTGTCCAGCCTTGGGATTGGTTTTTGTTTTTGTTGTTTCTGTTGTTTCATTCATGTGTGTTCCCATGAGTAGCAAGGGAAGAGTTGGTCACCTCTGGAAAAGCCCCGCAATACCAGAGGTAGGCTGATTATAATGAGGTCTCGTCCAGTTCCCCAAGGGGATCGTCCGTAACCGCATATCACCCTACGGCCATTCAGCTATCGGCAAGATTCCTTACACCATAGCTTGAGTAGGCTGGTCTACTGTGGCATGTTTTGCAAAGGCTTTTGGAGGGTTTTAGGTGTCCGGCGACCCCATCCGTAAAGCCACATTGGCTTCCCCGACAGGGCCTCCAGTCCCCTGGCCGGCCTCCTATCCGCCACCTGGGGACGCACCCGATAGGTAGACCAACCCACGGGAGCTATTATATGTTTTTTTCGATGTATATGTTATATTGTCCCCACTAGATTCAGGTGTATAAGAAACGTCCACATCGACATGTCAACAACTTTTGATCATGATAATTTTTTCATTTTGAGCTCGATTTCAATATTTTGTCAAAAAATTGAAGGACATTCATACCAGGACATTGTATGTTTCAATCATCTGGGCTCGAAACACTCTGTGATGAAACATTCTATGATGAAATATCGCTTTTGGATGACACTCAAATTCATCATGTATGCGATCTTGGTTCATGACCGAAATACCGGTTTTTCATTCATTCTGATATCACGATTTATTTCAAATTTATGAATTATTGAATAGAGTATTGCTTTTCCCTGCGTGTTTCTTTATTCTTCACAAAAATTATGGAAAAATTGAAAACCAAAGGTTAACATGGATATCGAACATGAGTTGCCTCCTTTAGCTTGGACGATAGCTTCCATTCTCCAAGGCATTCCACGAATTAACACTCGAATGAACTCCTGGAACACGTTATTCTACTTCACTTCTCTCACATGTACCCAGATAGTCCTAGACATATGCATATGATCTGTATGTTTAAAATCTGTTTTTCCGTTAACCAGATGTCGCACCTCTATGAACGACAACCCTCACAAGTCGAAACTTGTGCGAGCAAAGGACTAACGAGGTCTTACCTTTCAATGTGTGATTCCTAACACGAAAAACCAGAGAAAATATAATGCTTCATTCAATAAAATTATTGGATTTGAAACTGATCATGATATCAGAATGAATACAGAAACTTGACATAGGCGGATGTCTTCATTCATGTCATTCAAAAGCTGTCCATCTCCTCAGGATATGTTTAACTTGTATGATAAAAACATAACTTTGTTTTTCCTCGTATAATGTGTATAACATCAGGCCTTTCAATTAATCTATTTCACGTGAATAGATTTGGGATGCATTTCACATTTACCGAAATTTTCAAAATCGGTCTGAAAATAAAAAGTTACTTATGACTAAAATTTTTGAAAGTGGCCGTTTTTATGCACCTGGGTGCATAAATGTATCATGTTTCACACAAAATCCTCCTCTATATAAATTCATATATTCAGGTTGCATTTACAAATGTTGCGCGTTTTTTCTCGATCAAAAAATCGGATTGACAAATAACTCCAGAAAACACATTTGATTTTTCAAAATTAACTTCTAACGTAAGCTAAAATTTTTGATAAACTACATACTAGGTGATGATTATATGATGGATGAACCACATTTCTGATGAGAGAGATTATAGCATTCATAAAATTAGCGCCACCATTAAGGACAATAAACTCCTGCATTATATATAACCTAATGCACAATTTTGCGACATGATTAGAGGTTGCAAATTGTTTTGGAAACCGGAACATCGAATAGAATCGCCTAATTGAAATAGTAGTAAACACGTTATTTATGATAAATGCACATTCACTTCAATTTGGTACAAAATATCTAGTTACGTTATAATGTTTGCTTTCATCTTGTGTATATGTGCCATCCAATTGAAAATTTCATCTATTATTATTATTATTCCTTAGAGAATATACATATAAGCTGAATGACAAAAATTCAGAGCAATTCATGAGATTGAAGCCACCTTTTGTAATATCAACATGCATTAAAACCTGTTTAACCAGAAATGTATTTGTTGAAAAATTCGTATTAGTATTATGGAGTTTGATGAGTTCTATAAAATGAATTGAGAAAAAGAGTAGCCTAAAATAGAATGCTGGAGCACACCTCAAGTAATGTATTTATTGTGTTGGGTTTCACAAATTGTTACCAATTTTGAAATAACATTTTTGATTATCACCGTTATCATGTTCTTCTAATAAAAATTGGCCACATCAATATGTTTAGTGCATAATGATCACTGTATATTGATTTATTTTCATTTGAAAAAACCATGCATAAACATTTTTCTCTTAAATTTAGAAAAAAAAACGCGATATTTTCAGTTATTACAATGATTACTTCCATCTATGAAAATGACTATGAATGTAACCCTTACAACTATGACCAACCATTCCTGGAATTTGATGAAGTTTATAAAGCAATATATCGTTATAAATACATTTTATAAATACAGAATACGTAAAATTATTCCAATGAAAATGATGAATGTAAATAAATTATCATCAACTGTTGTGCTATTTGTGCAAAAATGTTAGTAAGTGTAATGAATCATTCAAAAACTATCGGAAGAATAATAGTGATAATATTAGTATATTTCCGAACAAATCGAAAATGATATCACAAATTGCTTCTTGTTTTTCTTTTTCTTAATTTATTGTTTTGTATATTCATCAGGGTTTATATTCACGATTACCTAAGTTATTTTGTTTTATTTTCGAACCATTATACATTTTATGATACAACAATTGATTTGTATTTTGTATTTTGTATTGCAATATTATTTAAATGAAATATTTTTTCATCACCCTAATCAAACGCAATTGACTGTATCAAGGTAAAACAAGTCCTTTGTACATAGAAATGAATATTGAAAACCATATATTTTATTTCTGCATCACATATTTGACTTCATTGTCTTATTTATAATGCACGTGAAAATGATATTTGATTCAATAACTTTCAAGAATTGGTACTCCACTTGAGTTGAAGCAAAAGCATTGCAAGACAATTAATTTTTTTTTCACTCCATATTGGATCATATATCATACATCATTGTAAGGCGTATATGTTTTACTTTTGAAGTCCATTACTAATATCGATTATTAATCATGATGTAGTTGACAGATACTTCCGGGTTTATTAGCCGTGGTCTGTAGGTTTTTATACCTGAAGTTTCGTCTGCTATTGCGGCAAACTTTATCAAACTTCTTTCATCCTCCGTCAAGCATGTAGAACAACCAACAACTACAGAGTACTCAGTGAACTCAGGTGGTAGTCAAATATGGATCCTCGGGGTTTTTATCTGTATTGAGACCATTCTCTATCGTACTTACGGATTCGAAAATTGACCCAACACCATGTTTTTTGAGGACAGTATCGATTTGGTCCGTCACTCCGTTTATGTAGAGCTGAAAAGTGTTTTCATTGGCAGTTCGCTCGAGTGCTGTCGTGGAGTTTTTTTGCGTGGTTTGTACAGCTTGGTTGACCTTGGCCTCGTTATATCCATTACCCAGAAATACAATCTTCAGATGACACATTTCCTTTCGTACCAAAGTCTTAATAATCCCTTTTTTCTGTAACAGTTGATGATAATAGGCTTGTTCATATATCGGTCCATATGATGAAACATTAAAAATTGAATATATACAAAAAAAATAAGAAGAATACTCTACTGAGCAAACACAAAAGAACTATTACAGAAATCACGTAGAACAAGAACAAAATATTAGAAAAAAACTTGGTTAACAGTTAACGAAGTATTGAAAATCCCTGGCTATAGGGAAATGAACGAAATCTAAAACTGGCTAACGTGTCAGTAATCCAACAGAAATGGTCGAAAAAATAAAAAATCTCTAGTATACAATGGCAACTATAAAAATTATCTCATAGCATATACGTTCTCCTCTGATTTATATGATAAATAAATATTTCGAACTAGATCATTTCCCTGATGCTTTCAAGCTATCAGTTGTCATTCCCGTTCATGAAGGAGGAGAAGAAAAAATATTACAAATCACAGAAGAATCTCACTCTGGAGTCAGAGGTGCAGCCTACAACTTGTTCAAAAGTTATTTGAGTAACAGAAAACAGANTTACTGAGGTGGGAATTTGCTCAAAAAATATTGTCAGTCAATTTTGTGAAAGAAAGAATGTAATAGAAACATTCAAATGAGGTCATTCTAAGTTGCGGGGGATGGATTTCCAGGGTCGAAAATAGTTTTTCATAATTTTCTTCGAAACTAAGCCTCCTATAATAATAATACTAATGATAATAACAACATTTATTTTCCATAAGATATAAATATGTATTGGATTAGCCAGATTAGGTTAGGTTCGGTGAGTGGGACTTTTCGAACCTGCACCGAAACCCATAAGGGTTTATTATGGCTCACACCTATTTACACTCGACCAAATAAACCCAGCTTCTTAACGAAGCCAATGAGGGTTTTTGCACGTCAGCTACACCTGACGATGCCTCAGATTCAACCCTGCAGGGCTTTTCCGCGTCTGGTTTTGGTGAATCATCACTTGAGCGCAAACGTTTGCTTACGTGCTCATGGGGGTTTTTTTTCCTCTACCTGAAACAGATTCTGCGTACGCCGCTTAAGGATTTGGTGCTAAGCGGTTTTATAAGGTACCCCGCTCTTGAGGAGACGACTTTGTCGTTTCCTGGCTGTAACCAAACCTTTTTTTTTAGGTTCGGTTATTGGATTAGGACAGGGAGGTCAGTTGGAGTCGTAAGCTCGACTTCCATATCCTCTGTAGACTCGCTCCTGATCTAAATTCACAGGGAGGTCGGTTGGAGTCGTAGGCTCGACAAACATCTCCCCTGCAGACTTAGCGTCAGAAAGAATTTCTCAGTTTACTCTGTCCATAAAGTCTCATGAGTAGGTAGGGGAAGAAAGTCAGTCATGGCAGAGCCCCGCATTACCGTGACAAGGCGATGCTACGACGAAAGGGCGCCCGGTATCTCGGGCGCCCGAGAGGTGCAGCCTACAACTTGTTCAAAAGTTATTTGAGTAACAGAAAACAGAAAGTAGAAATCGGAAATATCACAAGCACCGGAATAACAATAACGTGTCGGGTACCTCAAGGGACGGTATAGGGCCTGTGTTATTTACATTATGTATGGAAAACCTCTTTTTATAGGAATAAGATGACCGAATACTGCTTAAAGTTAGTATCATCTGAAAGTCAAAGCAGAAGATGACTTGAAAAATTTGAAAAAATGGTTCGCCAGTACACTCCTCTTGTTGAACATTGGAAAAACACTCTCCACTTTAATATAATCATTCAACAAGATTTGAAAATTGAACCTGCGAAAAAATGAAATATTTAGGTATATTTCAAGATCCACACTCGAGTTGAAATAGGCATATATCATATCTTCTGAAAAAACTACGCTTTCTGTAATCAGACAACTCATATCTCATCTAGACCTCGAACAAAAATATTGTGTTGATAAGTTTGGTGGAAAATTATTTGATTTGGGAGATCATAGCGTGGGGAGGTCTATCACGAACTTATCTGAATTTGATAGAAGTCTTTCGAAGAAGATTCCTCAAAATGATTCTACAGAAAGATTTAAGATATTCTAGTGATTCCCTTGACTCCGACGTAATGGACGTAAGACAAATCTATAACGTACAAGTATGTATTAAACAATATTTGAACAAAAAAAATCCTACTTTTCGAGACAAAAAAATAGGTATGTTATTCCAAAAATACCTAATCAGTTGAACAAAAACATTTCAGTTACATAGCCCCGAAACTGTTCAATTGCCTGCCTGATTTGCACCTTTACTCAAAAAATTCAAAAAACATTTGAGAACATTCTCAAAACAAATAGAAAGAAAAGAAATGCGTAGAATTATAGAAGAGTGAAAAAAATGCATTCATTTATACGAAGATTGTACTTTTAAATGTGTGTTGTGTTCAATTTATATTGAGTGTATTTTATTCAGTGACACTTCATTGATCTAATCCATTGAAGTTTTTATTTATACTAAACTGTGAATTATAAATGTTATTTTTTATATTTTCAGAAGTTTCAGATGTTTATTGTGTTAATTTTATTCAGAGACTCTTCATTGTCCTAATTTATTGTAGCGTTTCATTTATACAAAAACTGTGAAAAATAAATGTTTATTATTTCATTCTATATCTAGTTCATAATACTTTTGACCCTTATTGTTTTCAATTGTTATAATTGTTCTGTTTTTTTTAAATTGTTTCATTTATACAAAAACTGTGAAAAATAAATGTTTATTATTTCATTTTATATCTAGTTCATGATATTTTTGACCCTTATTGTTTTTAATTGTTACAATTTTTCTGTTTTCTTTTTAAATTGTTCTGTAATTGCTCTTTACCCACACACAGGGTTTCATCCTCAGTGGAAGTATCCGTTTATTCATCATTGTACCCCTCATACTTCACTGTATATTTATGTATTGTAATTCACTGATGAATAAAAAAAATATTATAGATTCTCCCAATCAGGTAGGTACAAGAGCAGTCAGTCATCCGACACCTAGTCTCATCATCTATAAAAACTTGCAGACCACGACTAATGAACATGGAAACATCAGACAATTTGATCGATTATTAAAATAACTCATTCATCATTCATAACCGGCTGAATCAAGTGTCTTATTTTGATGCATGGCAATTATTATTTGTTGAATGGATGGTTAATATATTCTTTGTATATAAGACAGAAAGTATTGTTGTTGACACTCAGATATTTGGAGGTTTTTGGATACTGCATATAATTGAATAATCATGATAATTTGATTTATAGCCAGTCTTCAAGTATGCCCACTGACTATATGTGAATGAATATATTATATTCCAACCAAATACCCACTGATATCATATGTGTTATTTGCTCTCCCAATGAGGAAAAGTGTACTGTATGATAATTATTGACAAATAAAATTTTTATGTAAAAATGAATGGAGATTTGCTAAGCTTGTATATTTCCAAAATTGCGGCCAAATTTTCTTCGAATACTTTGTTGAATATAGAAAGTTTTGTTATGATTTAATATACATTTGTTGTTTCATGTTAATGATGTTTTATTGCTTATTAGTAGTCCTTCAATAGATATCTTAATGGAAAAAATGTCCGTACCTGTTAGGAACAATATTGTTGGTACTTTATTTTTGCAACTAGAAATGATTTTGGACCTCATTTTCACGATGAAAACCTGCACAATAATGACCAAAGAAAGAAGGATAGATTATAACAATTTTATCGTTTTATCAATTTTGATACATGACGAACTTCTAGCCATTTTTTCAAATATCTGAACGAGTGGAGGCAACTTTTTCAATAGATAACAAATGTCGAAAACGAGCTTCAAAATACATACATCGATAGAATAACTTATTATANTTTCTGAACGAATAAAGGCAAGTTTTTCAATAGATAACAAATGTCCAAAACGACCTTCAACATACATACATCGATAGAATAACTTATTATAATTCAAATTTTGCAAAAACGGTATGTAGGTAATAATATTTGGAGTTGCACCCTTACCAACGACAACCCTCAGAAGTCGAAACTTGTGTGAGCTATGGATTAACGAGGTCTTACCTTTTAACGTGCGATTCCTAACGTAACCTAACTACTTCTGATGCAAATTATTCATATACTTATCAGAAAGCTTCAAAACTTGATTGGGAAAAATTATATTTTCTCATCTTCATGGTTTTGAAAACATTGAGTGATAGTGAATCTGCATCACATCAGTTTCTCAGTGAAGGTCTTACTTCAATAATTCACTTTACTTTTTACGTCTTGCTGTTTTTTGGGCATATAACCCTCCACAATCTAGTGAAGGATCGAATCTTCTGTTTAAATTTATACACTATCACTGAAAAACAGCAAGCATAAAGTAGGTCCCAGAACATATCCTTGGGATACACCAATCTCCTTTTCGATATTTGCTCATTGTTCGCGGCCTGAGATGTTTCATTCAATCCACAAATCCCAATCAGATATCAAAATCAATCTTCATGAACATATATTATATAGGCAATCAAAATGTTTGCCAAATATAAAGATTTATTGTTATTCGATCGATAGATCAAGCAGCTCACAGCTACTTCCACGCTAGAATAGCAATTATAGTTGCTGCAGTACCCAACTCAGGAGCAAATTCGCGAATCCCAAAAAACAAATCTTCTTTCGACGAGATCTATATGTCATCATCAACTGCATCATCATCGTCGTCATCATCATTAGTGAGATCCATCCTTGGAGCCACAACCATCTCAACCTTTATGATTTGACTGGCAAGTGTGGGTGTAGGAACCCTCAACGTAGAAGTATCTGAAGGTTTTCTTCTGCTAGTATAACGTTCCACCCATTTGAGTAGCGTCAGCACTGCGTCGGTAGATGGCAGACGTCTTTCTGCATAGGTCTTCGTGATATCCGACGATGTTACTCGAAATGTTGCTGCCATTCCCTTGAGAGTCTGAAACAAAATGGTGAATTAGTTCATCTGAATACTTCATGTTCTGCCCAGTTGGAAATGTGGAGGATCTCGGTTTCCATCAGTTCAGAAGTTGGAGAGTAGCCCTCTAGAAAAGCCAGTGACTTATTCAATAATTGTAAATATTATTGAAGATAGCTGTAATATTGATAATAATAATAATTTACTGCACAAAGGAAACCGTTACAACATAGAAGTATTATAAGCTAACCTAAATAATGTACAACAAAGTGGGGAAACCTGTAAGAAATCAAATTCTTGTATAGGTTGAGAAGATGCAGGGTAATAAGTTTAAATAGATATATGATACATAGGAAATGATGCAAAAAAATAAATTCAAAAAATGCATTAAAAAATACAAGAGAAACAAACAATTGAGGTGAAAATGAAAAATATAACTAGTGTTTCAGAGAGTAATTTTCACATATTAACACATGCATGAACAAAGCAATATATCTCAGAAAATATAAATCATGGAATGGGTTTATATCAGAAGGGACTTGACTGTTCACTGAAGTACTATATCATGAAGGAGTTTTCGATTTGTAGATGTATATCAACCCTCGAGGTCGACATAACCTTTCAACTTATTTCTGAATTGTTTGATATTATTAATTTCTGAGATATATTGCGGAAGGCACCCGTAGAGTTTCGGACCTAAAAATTCAAAATTCTTCTGCCCAATAGACTTTAAAGCTGTAAGAGAATTGTGTTTCTGTCTTGTGTTATATAGTGTAATCAACAAGTTCAAAAACATGAAAAATAGCGATAGCTATTGAGCGATAGATCATTCATGATATGAGCGATAGCTCCTTCGAATCGGAATCAAATCTAGAAAAATGTTTTTGAAGGATTTTAGTGCAGATATGAAATTGCAATTGTTATTTACAAAATAAGATGAAAAGAATGGTATTAAGTTTTTCGTTAATAACTCAAAAAATNCTCCTGCACCAAAATCCTTCAAAAAAATTTGTCTAGAGGTGATTCCGAATCGAATGAGCTATCGCTCATATTTTCAGGATCTTTAACTCTATTTTTCATGTTTTTGAACTTCAATAGTGGTGCTCATCAGTTTAGCAGAGTGGATTCAGTTTTATGCTGTTCACCATTCAAAAAAATAGCTGCTTCGGGTCTAAGATTTCAGTTTCAGAGTAACGTAGGTCTGAAGAGTATCGGATTGTTTTACAGAATGGAATTTTCATAATTTTTTTCGGTACTATCACTAAATTATTAATAATAGTTTTTTCGACTGCCTCCCGAGCTGCTATTTCGTGAGCTATATGCGATTTCACTAATGCGTAATACACTGTTTTGAGTTGGCTTTTGTTCAAAATATATCTGAGGTTTTCCAGTTTGTAAATTAAAAAATGTAATGGAATTGGTTATAATTCAAATAGCTTCAGAGTGATTATTGAGATGAGTAAGGGTTTGTTATTACATAAAATCTTGTCCTCAGTGTTGTTTAAAAAAAAATTATTGACATCCTGATGTGAGAGTAATGTAAAGATTATTAACGTTGACAAGTTTTCGAAACAACATTCCCTATCAATCAAGCAATCATTTGTATTTCATCAAATAACGAACCTGGGTTGACATGAAAATCTGAATATACCAAGTAGAGATTTTTATCTACTAGACTGTTAGTCAAAAAATGATGTTGGACATGCTAAAACAGCATGTCTTTGGGAGAAATCAATCCAAGCAGTGGTAAAATGGTTTCAGTAGAGGAACGACATTTACTAGTATGGTTATTCATTTTGTATCTGTTTTCAAACAAAACGGACACAATAGACCCTAATATCAGGCTGATGGTGAGAAATGGATTCTTGTTCATCATATTCATATGGATATTCCATTGGACATATACTGTAAAAATCACCCGAAAAAGCTCCAAATTAAAAACTCTACAAAATAAGCCACTACTCAAGGTACATGTATACCACTATTTTTGACTGCGATATGAGTTGGGAAGGTAGCCATTATGACCTGAATGTAATTCGGGGAAGTACATGAGTTATTCCTGCCATCATGGTTTACCAAGAAGTGAGACAAATATATTCTTTGATAGACCTTCCTTTGGTGATGTCAATGTCCATTACGTTTTTTTCTGATTGATTCGGCTGTTACTTGATGAAGATCTATAGTAATTTCAAAAACTACACCTCACGATTTGATCTCCACAAACTTCATTTGAAAAATATATCACAACATGTTTTGCTAGCACAGTAGCTTTGTCAAGTGAATCACATGTGATATATTTTCCAACTGAAGTTTGTGGAGATCAAATCGTACGGTGTAGTTTTTTAAATTTTTTTGTATATTACTTTTCACAATCGTGGACGTGAAACTTCACGTCCACGTGATTGTATTCCATGTTTTTACTGTAATATAATATCAATTTCAATTGTACTCGATATATATTCATGCTACAGGTGCTAGAGACTCAGATATTTCACATTTGATTTCAATTTTGTTTCAAAATTACCTAAAAGAACGTCATTGAGAGTGTCAGAATTATAAACACATAAATCCAATATTACTCGAGTTTTTTCCCAATACCAAACCGTTATTTTAACACCTCGACTTGTGATTCGATCACCAAATGATCATTTTCAAGAGGAAGATCTTGTTGATGATCACTTGGTGATCTTGTAGATGATCACTCGGTGATCATCTTCAAGATCTTCCTCTTGATCATCCTGGTAATCATCTTCAAGAGGAAGATCTTAAAGATCACTTGGTGATCGAAACACGTCTTGAAATAACGGTTTGGTGTTGGAAAAAAACGTCAGTAATATTCATTACTACACGAAAGGTTCCAAACGGTACATCACAAGTACATACATCCAAAATTGAGCCTAGCAAACCAAGCTGATAGCTCAGTCATACGGCCTCACTGACCGTAGTCATTTGTGGCCAATTGGATATGAAAAACCAAAGCATATCTTGCTCTCTATTTCACAATATTCACAATATTGGAGCCATCAACAAGTTGATTAGATATACAGTGTGACACTGTATTCAAGTGATTTTTGAAAGCAGATTTTTGAGTTTCAGTACAGGCGTAGACCTCAATACGAGTGACACTAGTGACAGCTTTGAATCCAGCCTACTGTAATCACGCAAATTGGGACAATTCTCGATATTTCGCATTGGAGACACCGAAACAAGTTATTTGAAAAAGTTACTTACACATCGAAAATTTTAAATTTGGATTTTTTTGTGATTTTCATGTTCAAGTCCGATTTTCAATTAATGGTTCCGAATAAGAAGCTACAGAAATGATAAAGTAGTCAAAATTAATGAAATAACTGTTTGGAAATAACTAAAATTGACAATTATTATTTTATTAAATGTATTTGATTTGTTTCGTTTTCTGTTCACACATTATTTACGTTCAAATAATATAACGACCAACCATAAGGGTCCTACTGAAATTATTTATTCAAGTTGCATTATTCTTGAATGAATCTAGTGAGTTTTGAGAAAATTGAAACTCGACGAGAAATATCTGATTTTGTATTCCAGATCAATATGTTTTCACCTCAGAAACTTTGCAGGAAAATCAACGGATGACAAAAAAAGCCATATGTGACAATAAAATATTTATTATTATTCGATAACATTAACATAAAATTTCACTATCTGAACGAAACGTTTGGTAATACCAAAAAATGCCTTATTTCAGATCGACAAAAATAAAAATTATGAAGATCTCTTTGAAATATAAAAATTGAATTACGATATTATTGAGATGATATTTGAATGTGCGATACGTATTCTCAGTCTGAAAAAATCACACTTAAAATTCTAATAACGTACAGGGTGTTAATTCAGGTATTCTAGAGGCTTTCATGCATCAACTCAAATGATGATCATATAACAATAAATGGTTTGATTTGAAAGTTGAATGTTTCTTAATATATGAATGGGCGCTTGCATCTCCTTCTAGTTGATTGAAATTGATATGTGTTTTGAGTATTCGAATATTCAATATTGGCACATATTTAGTCTTTATATTATTCTTGAAATGGAGCGATTCGAAAATTGCTGATTTTTTTCCAGTGCTTGCATCTTCTGTCAAAAAATCTTAGAAATTTCCAAAGATATGTGATATGATTTATTATGAAATTATCGTACAGAAATATATTGGTACTTCTTTCGAAAATTATAAAAATGGAAACAAAAATGTATTCTTGGATAACATATCCATAAATTTGACTCGTTTTCTTCTACTCTCACGAACTATTGTCGAATTGAATACTGAAGTTGAATAAATACGAATATTCATCAGCAATTTTGAGTGATTTCATAAAAATATGCTTACTTTGATTATTACTTTGACTGAAACATTACCAAGAAAAAATGTATTGCCAATTTGGTATGAAAGCATATTATTCTATTACTTATGTCGTAAAAGTGAGAAGAGAATTTGATTGTTTTATAAATACAGTTACATAGAATTCTGCAAATCACAATGATGTGAAAATTCATAATAAGGTCTCAATCAAGTTTGAAAACATAAAATTTGTCCTAAAATTTAAAGTATATGTGGGAAAATATATATTAGATAAATAGTATTTTCACATTCAACAATTTATATTTGTACAAGTTGATATATTGTTGAATACATTTTGTGTTTGAATTTCCTAACTATAAACAACATATGNTTATATTTGACTTTTCGAACAATAACTCTTTCCTGGGAATTGAAATTACTGTATCAATGTGAAGGTTGGTACTGCTTTTTTGCAACTAAGTAAGTAATATTTGTAGTTTTTGTTGAAATCATGACATTTACGGTTTGTTTACAGATTCATGGAAATACTGTGGAAGTGTGTTTATGTATGTTGTTTTTTTTTTGGTGACAAATGACTTCACACGTTTCTCCCTCGAAACTCTTTTGAAATGATGCTTTTCTCACATTTTGTCTGACACTGATATCTAGTTCCGTTCAAAAGTCAAGAAGGGGCAATTTTTTACGTCCGCACTGTATAGTATTAGATCCTTATCGAATTCAGAGTTAACCGGTAAAAATTTTTTTGTGCCATCGTGAAACTGTTTTTAGTTTCGAAAAAGAAGGACAGCATCAGAATGACGTCTTCGTAACAGGATATTTTGGGCGATAATCCCTCATTTTATAACATAACCTCACTCATACAAAATGTGTCGGAAATTTTGAGTATGGTGAAAAGCATCATATTGACATCATTAACAATATGAATTAAGATAAAAGGATGCTATTCACTCACATCACCACTTCTTACTATTTTTATATTATACATAACCATGCAATGTCAACATTTGAAAAATGAACTTTACTGCGACTTGAACCTCTTACCTATCTATTGAGAGGACAACGTTGAACGACCTGAACCACAGACTTTTACCATGAGTAATCGCAACAAATTCTGGCCTTTTGGAGAGGGGGAAAAAGAAATATTGAACAGCAAGGCTATCAAAAACAATAAATGATTTTCAGCTAATCGCATATTCTCATATGAAATGTTCTTATGGATAACTGAATATTTAATGAAAAATTATGTATATTCAACTAACAAACGTTCTTCTAATGACGGTTATGAAAGCATCATTTTGAAGCCAATTTTAGGGAACCGAAATAACTCGTCTTTTTTGCATTTTTGAAACATTTTTGAAACGACATCCTTCGAAATAACGTTTTGATCACTTATTATTTTCATTGTCAAATATTTATTTATTTTCTGTTTGGGTGAAATGGAGGAAAACCTATTTTTTATCGCTTTAGGTAAGTACATTGGTGAAAATAAAGGCTTTCCAATTCCAATCTTCCAGTTTGTGGAAAATTTATAATATTCACAAAGAATCGAAACAATTGGCCAGTTTTGCATTCTTGAAATGATATTTTCAATAGGTATGTACTTTGAACAACATCATTTTGGATTATTAATAGCTTTCTTTTTCAGATATTTGCTTATTTTTTGTTATAATGTTACAAAAATGAAACATTCTTATTTTCATCAGGAAAAATACAGATTTTCATTATTCAAAAAAGTACGTATTCCCCATCAGATCCAATGTAATATATATTCATGATTTTCAATATTCCACCAAATATTTCAATAATGGAAAAAATGTATATTCGATGCCCCTCAAGAAAGATGACGATCATAATCACATTGTTCAAAAATCATTTCTGTGATCATACCATTATGGACGTAATTGTTGAGAACTATTTTGAACTATCTGCAGAGATCTCACGAAAACCATGATATGACCGATAATTCGCAAATACACTGCTTATCGAGTTCTCGAGTCATTGATTAAAACAACCTCTGGAACGTCTACTGAAAAAGTAACACCCAGCACAACGAGTACAAGCCTACTCTAATATTTACAAAAACCACTAAATCTACGAACTGTCTAAATGGTATCGGGAATGACGTCGGGAGAGAGCGAAGTTTTCTGAGTCATCGACATCTCCATTTGCATGGCATGCTTCGCTAACTGGGTGGAGTTTCTTCGGTAACTAGCAGCATCCAGACTCGGTTTTCTTCGGCTGAGATGCCGTTCCACCCATTTCAACATGGTCAGGACGGAGTCCGTCGAAGGAAGTCGACGTTCCGCAGATGTTTTAGTGATTTGCGAGGTGGTGACTCTGAAGGTGGCCGCCATTCCTTTGAGGGCCTGAAACGTTGCAAATCTCACATAGAAAAATAGAGGTATTGAAAGAAATTCAATTTTTGTAGTGTAGTTTTTCACCTTCTACCATCAATTGATACTGCGGTCGTAAAAAGTCCCCGTTCTAATTCTGAACGAGATAGGATATCAACGTTGGACAAAACTTACTTGAAAATAAAATCGTAGCATCATTAGTTGCCGAAAGGGCACTATAATTTTTGTCTTTGAAAAGATATGTCATTTGATGAGCTTTGATTATCTTTATCCCACACCAATTTACTTCTTGAAATATCGAAATTTCAATGAAAATTGTGAGTATTACAAATTATCTTTAGTTATTTCCCTTGAGGCAGCGTTTCACAACCTTTTTTAGTCCACGGATTCAAAAAATCGAGAATAATTTCAAGAACTCGCTTGATAAAAAATCACAGGAATAAATTTCGAAAAATTTTTGTAATACTGCAAAAAATAACTATTTCCTGGGAATTGAAATAACTGTATCAATGTGAAGGTTGGTACTGCTTTTTTGCAACTAAGTTAGTAATATTTGTAGTTTTTGAAATCATGACATTTGCAGTTTGTTTACAGAATCATGGAAATACTGTGGAAGTGAATTTATGTATGTTGTTTTTTTTTGGTGACGAATGACGTCACACGTTTCTCCCTCGAAAACTCTTTTCCCACATTTTGTCTGACACTGATATCTAGTTCCGTTCAAAAGTCAAGAAGGGGCGATTTTTTACGTCAGCACTGTATAGTATTAGATCCTTATCGACCCCCACAGAAACATCGTTGATGAAGCAAACATTCATAGCAAAAATAATGAATTCATCATCTTCGAAATTCACCCCATACTCAAAATTAAAAGTTACGAATGAATAAAATACGAAAGTTTCGTTAACTCATTCGAAAAACAGTGAAACACATATATTTGTGAAACAGTTGAAATACATTTGTGTGTAATATCAATAAAAAGTGATCTTCAAAATTGAATTGGGTTAATCAATGTTACCACAATAACAGCATGTGAAACCCAGAGATTATGTTTGTGTTATTGGCTAAAAAAGTGTCTGCTTCCTGAAACTCATTATCTTAGATTGTCTAACAAGTGATGATTTCAAAATATGTATATCTTGGATGAGATCAAGAAAACGAGTTCTAATGGTGATTTAGCTCTTTTGAAAAAATTTTGAAAAAAATGTGTTGGTGTTAATGTAGTGAGACAATTATACTTACACAATTCATTGTTTCCAGTTGAAACACCCACATAAGTTTAATTTTCATTTCGTGACAGTTTCATAAAAGATATAAGTTAGCTAGATCTATCCTATCTACGAATACATGGAGATTCTGCATCCAACTATTCGATACAAACAATTAATAGGTTTATCAAAGCATTCCACTTCCAACAATAATAATCCCAGTAAATATTTTTTTCTGAATATATCTCAATAAAGTTTCTACTGCTTGCCCAAAAATATTTTCATTACTTATAAAATTTGATTTCATCTCAATCTCAAGTGGCAATTTCCTTTTTTATTCATATATGTATTTTTCGAAACGATATGAAGCTATCACTCTACAACTCGAGTGTTTTTTTTATAAAAAAAGGAGTTCCATCAATTGTTCTACTACACCTAGATATACTGATTAATATACTTATCCAAGCAAATAGAGTATTTCTCATTATGAAAAATGTGTTGTTTTTATCATGCTAGACGATTTTATCTCGCACTTTCACACCGTAAACTCAGAAAATATAAAGAGTTGCTCAATATTCCATGAAATGATCATCTTTTTACTTTCCCTATTGTTTTTCAAACTTCATATAGATATGTGTATACTTTATTTGGTAACCGGGAAATGAAGCAGCTGATAACGCAGCCCGTCAAGCAGCAGGTACAACCGAGATCGATGAAATACCTATTCGATCCAATGACCTCCGAAGAATTGTGGACATCGAGATTGAAGATACCTGGTAATCAGAATGGGAAAGTAATTCAGGAAAACTCAAAGCTGTCAAATTCAAAGTGAACAAATCGAACTTTTTGTGCGAGTTGATACGACGTGAACAAGTGATCCTAACTCTATTGAAAATAGAACATACCAGAAGTATGCAACATCTGCAATAAAATTGAAATGGTCCATCACATCTCAATCGAATTACAAGTTTACTCACAACTCAGATAGACACTGAATAAGCTTAGTACAACAAAAAAATGCTTATTGAATGATGTGGCCTAAATAAAAAAAAAACGTTGAATTTTATAAGCTTTACCAAAAGATATAACTGAAAGTTGAAGTTACCAGTTGAACTTCTACTGAACTGAAATATATACAACGTATACGCTGTATTCTAACTTGTAGATATTTCAGTTCTTTGTTGGAATATTCAAGTATGATTTGATAAGTAACTGGTTGACGGAAAAATAGATTTGAACAGATTTTTAACAGATTACTTCGGCTGTAAAACTTGCCAAGTACCTGGGGTATTATATATGCCTAAGGGCACATATATGAACTCTTAGTACAGATGACAGGTGCAAATGAATATAACCTACCAATTAGGGAGTCTATCAAGAGATGATTTATATCTGAAGTAGTTTTTTTATACTGTAACAGATCCATCAAAGGTCCTAAAGAAATCTGTAGAAGTCATAAGAAGGAGGGACAAGATTATTATGTGATGGAAATGAATTCAAGGAAAGGTAGATAGATAGCTTATTTGTAGAAAGAATGAAAAGTATTTCTTCCACCTTAGTCTTGCTGCTTTGATAAAGTTGAATTACTAACCCAAAGAAGTATCTGCTATTCATTATTCTCACAAGTATCAATATTTTCTTTTGAGCTTTTGAATAGCATTGAAATGGATGTATTTCTTCAAGTTGACCATTCCGAAATATATCTCGGCACATATTGGTATTGACATTACCTGCATTGCATCTTCGTCTGTAGCGTCATCGCCAACATATATGATTCTTATCCTCTCACACCAGTCCACACCGAAGGCTGTTCTGAGGATGTAGATCGATGCTCTACCCTTATTCCACTGCACTGGAGGTTTGGCTTCTATTGCGCAATGGGCCTTGGCAGCATTGAATCCGGCTGCTTCGATCATGGATGTTGCTTCTCTCTCTAAAGCTGGTCTGTGAAAAATGGTATTTCATCACAATATCGAAGGATTTCTAATGTCAACCCCAATGAGTTTTTTCGATAATGTAAAAAAGAGTAATGTTGACAATTCTCACCTGAGATTGACTGGTGTTTCCCTGAAGTGAAATGTGAGCAATGCACCCTTATTTTCGACCCATGCTCCGTCTCTGCAAACTTTTTCTTGTAGCTGCCTCATTAGTTCACCAACCTTGTTATGGAATTCTGTTGGCATTGGGTGGACGAACTTCGTTCCATCTGGGTGAAGAATTTCCAGACCATGATTACCGGCATACGTGATGCCTTCTATTCCTACCTGCACATACACCAACGAAACTATTACATAGCTGAAATGATTCTCAGATTTGAAAAGTTATATATTTTTATATTTGACTTTTCGAACATTTAAGTGGAAAGAAATAAAAAAAAAATCTCTCAGCTCATTTATATATTCATCATTGGTATGGTTACACACCGAATACCACATTCAATGCATCTACTTTCACACATCAGCTATTAGAGATAAGATTCTGGCTCATATTGAAGAGAGAGTTCATGTGTCAAAATACTTCAAATTGGTCGAAAAAAAAAATTGATTCCACAATGGAGCACACTGGTATTCATTCTATCTGAAAATTATATCTGAGGACAATATAAATCAAAGTGGAATTCATACCTATCTTCACCATTCGTAAAAATACCTTTGGACTGTTTGAGTTTGTGTTCTAATCCTTTCCTGATGTCCATACCAAAAAAAAATGTTCTCTGTAATGTTTTCTAGACACTAATTGATTGCATTCTAGAATCCACTGTCACATATTCTTTCAAAAAGTTATGAGCTCTCTCGATATTCCTATAATGCATTGCCTGTAGTTGAGGCATCTGTTATACACCCCTATTTTTTTGATGTCCTGTTCTGTTGAACTAATTCTTCAGTAACATCCTTAGAACGTTTTACAATAGATAACTTTTATGGAAAATTCATTTCAGGTCTATTTTCATTGGACTCTTAACGATTTTTATTGATTGATTTTCTGTATTGGTACCGTATCAGAAATTTTAGTATCCTCGCAAAATGATTCATATACGGTGGAGCACACACAGAAAAATCTCGATATTCGACCCCTTTTTTTTACGGACAATATTTGTGTCGTCAGGAGCTCAAAATTCCCCGACGAATATCGTCTTGCTCTAAAGTTTAAGGAAAACTCACTCAGACTTATCAGCTTGTATGAGCCTGAGGGTGAGGAATGAATCAGTTCCAATGAATTCCGCACTTCTCATTCCCCACAACGGATTCAATATCCCCCAGAGCGCAAAAATGCCATAGATGGTAATGAAGCACTTCTAGGGCCGGGTTATATCGATGGATAAAGGTTGAGACCTGAGTAAAGCGAAAATCAGGCGCTTCGATAAGCCAGATTCTTCAATGTTATTGAAGAAGACTCCAGGCATTGGTTTACCCTTGTTTTGCTGCAGAAGTGAGGTGATCTCTGCAGCTTTCATATGAGCTTCTTGCTGAAAGGTATCCAACTCGGTGACTGAGTTGTATCACCCCGTTCAGTGTCGGAAATTGAACAAAGTTCATCAGCTGCACGAGCAGTTGCCCTACAGAGAAATGCTCCACATCCTGCTCTATCATGGTCGCGGCCCATGCTGAGAGGGGGATCCGAACTCTTGACGACTTTATAGGCTCCATCCAGTATCATTCTGTCATGTAGATACTCCAAATTCGAAGGTCTATGGTCTCCCTGTTGTCGGAAGAAGTACTACCTTGAAACTGACGATTTGGGATGCAAACTCTTATGAAGATGCATAATTTTTTGGATCTTTACGTCAAGTTGATACAGCTTCTCCAGAGTCCACTCCTCTACTCCGAACTAGTAGAGTAAGATCAGAACGGCAAGCATATTTGTTGCATCAACTTTGTTCTTCCCCGACAGTTCCGAAGTTTGTGATGATACTTGCCGTGGAGAGAGTTCTTCACTGCTGTTACCTCTTGTCAGTGGCGTTGTCCCCCCCCCGAGGTAAGTTTACGTCTCTTTGGCATCCAAATGGTGTAGTATGCTTCCTTCTACGAGCTGCACATCCTCCCCGTAGTTACCGCTTCGTCCTCTTCTGAGATGGACCATTGCACATCCTCCAGAGGCATAAAGTTCAAGATCATCCATATAAAACAAATGGGTGACCTTGTGCCTCCGGTTTTTGGGGGTGCCACAGTTATACCCTTGAGTATTTCTGAGCGCAACTGATGATGGCAATAGTGAGATGCAGAAGAGAAGGGGACTGAGGAAATCACCCTGAAATACACCCCTTCTTAAAGAGACCCACCCTGTTTGGACTCTTGCTTGACCAGATGTTATGGTGAAGCGAGTTCGCTAAAGTGGTATCAGTTGTTCAACGCATCTCACTATTTTTTCGGGTACCGCAATGCATCTGGGCAAATGTAAGATGAGCTCATGCGATATTCTATTATGTGTGATATTGTATTATCATTAATATCATTATTATTATCATAATCAATACCATCATCATTATTTCTGATTAAGGAGTTCATCCGCAATATCACAATGATGACTATTTAACGATTACTCCTATATTTTTTGTGATGAGAGCGAAACAAAATAGCGAACAACATATTTACTTGAGTTAGATAATAGTGTTTGTAAATCGAATAACAGCGGATCACTTGAATGATCAAATATTGACCAATATTATATAATGAGATTAAATTAGATTTTCGAAACGATGGAAATATTTCCTGAGTGAGAACCAATAACTAGCAATATTATATCTTTATGAACAAAATGGAAAATAAACAGTGAAATGAAGAACTCTTGACAAACGGATTAACTTTCGTGAAGTAGGTTTATCATCAATCAATCAAGATTGAGGCCAACACATAACATGCCGTCATAGGCGTACTTGATAGAGGGCACAACAAAAATGTAAATGGAGAGTAAGCTTACCATTTCTTTAACGTTATTCACGTTTCTTCCGCTGACAATGGCAATGTACACATCGGAAACATTTGACAACCTTTGCAGAACATTTTTCGTTTCTGCTGGTATAGTAGCGAGATCTGGGTGAGGTGCAATAGGTGCCAGAGTTCCATCGTAATCTAGTAAGAGGGCTAGTTTGTGGGTGTTTCCAATATACCTGGAAAATATTTGTAGGGATCATGACAAGTTATGAAACGAATCATACGTGACGTCATCAAAAAACTGAAAATCGTGACAAAATGCTGTCTATCAAAGCTACATTTTTTTTTATAAGAGATCTAACCTCTACAGATGTGAACTTCTGTCATTAGCCCTTTGTAAAACTTTTGATGCCTACTGGTGATCATGAAATTCTGTCGAACAAATTATTCAATATTGGTAATAGAAGTAAAACAATTTTATGGTTACAAAATTCCAATGAACGATAGGAAGCAATGTGTGTTTTTGGGAAATGAAAATGATTGTGGTGTGATTGAAAAAATGTTTGTGGAGTACCACAGGGATCTATATTAGGACCGTCACTCCTTCTTATCTATATAACTTCAATTTCAGAATTACAGCTTTCTGGAAAATCAGTGCTATTGTTGATCTATTGCATTGGAGATTCACAATTAATACACCAACAGATGAAAGATGATTGAAGACGATTGCACACAAATTAATTCACAATTATAAAGAATCGTCAAGTAGGTTTATTGATGAGAAGCCAAATTAATATTGAGACTAAACAAAAATGGAAGGTCCACTAGCGTTCAGTTTTTGGGTTTATATATAGATGAAACTGCTTCGTGGAATATCTAGATCGATATCATCAAAAGAGAGCTGGCTCCGATAATTGAGATTTTATATAGAATAAAAACTATTTTTTTGTATCATCTGAAGCTGATTTACTAGTTACTCATTCTTTCAAAATCAAAGTATTTTATTAGTGTATGTGGAACTGCTTCAAATGAAACTTCGTAATCATTGAGAATTTCACTGAATAATGTTATTAAATTCATTTTCCATGCATCTTTCTTGAAATTAATAAATATATTTTTACTCACTTTGACAAATATTCATCAAAATCATCCAGCGTCACAGCAGGCATCGTAATCGACCCAATATCATCGTGGTCATCTTGAGTTTGCAGCGATCCCATGGCCGACAGAAAAGACTTCGTCCAATAGTTAACATCGTTCAACATCTCCCTTCTCCTCAAGTAGTTCATCCGGAGAATCCTCTCATCCTCTGGCATCGTCAGAGCTCTGTGAATTACCTCAGAGGCATCATCAATTTCATACGGGTTGGAAATCAAAGCTTCATGCATGGTTTCTCCAGCTCCGGCGAAAGGGGATACTATAAGAACCCCTGGAGGTATGTTAATCTGACACGCGACAAATTCTTTAGCCACCAGGTTCATTCCATCGCGCAGCGGAGTGACTAAGCCCACGGCTGCGTCTCGGTAGAAGGCGGCAAGCTCGTCCTGGCTAACGCACCCGTAGATGTACCGTATTGGAGACCAGTTGGGTGTGGTGAACTTTCCGTTGATTCTCCCAACCATCTGATCCATCTCCTCCTTGAGGTCTTGGTACTCCTTCACGTCGGTTCTAGATGGAACGGAGATTTGCAGCAAAGACACCTTCTCGATGTGCTCCGGATGGTTTTCTAGAAGCTTCTCGAAGGCTCGGAGTCTATGTACCAAGCCTTTGGTGTAGTCCAAGCGGTCCACGCCGAGTATTATTTTCTGGTTTGTCGACAGCACTCTTGGCGCTTTTTCTGCTAGTTCCTTGAACCTTTCGTAAGGTATCCCGATTGGCAGAGGACGTACACGGACTGTACGACCTCCGTGTTCTACTAGGAGGTTCTTTCTGTCGACTCGACAGCCCAAACATCTCTGACAACAGTCTACGAAGTTGAGACAGTAGTCTGTGATGTGGAATCCGACCATGTCACAGCCTAGCATACCTTGTAGGATTTCGTCGGCCCATGGGAAGAGTCTAAATATATCCCAGGGGGGAAAGGGGATGTGAAGAAAGAAGCCTAGCTTGCATTTTATTTCTTGTTCGTCTGCGGCCTGAAAAAAATTGATTCTCAGTTGTTGCTTTTTGTAGGGAGGAAATTATGTTAAGAAATGAATATCATGAATTTCAAGCGTAGAAAATATGCAATTTCTGAGAGGAAATCGATGTGAAGTTCATAACTGACGATAACGAATTCATTTAAAAAAAATATATGTTTATGAGTACACCGAGTCCATACTGAAGAAAAAAAATTATATCTAAAAAAATTTGAATCGAATTCGAATTAGAATTGAATATACGTTGTATCTAATTATGAAAAATAATAATCTTCAATATTGTATGCATTAACTCATTTCTGAAAACATTACAATACCAACATGTCCTTGTGTGTTTCGTATTATGTATATAGTTTATTTTCAATTCATTAGGCTAATTTTTTTTTTAACAGTTCATATCTATTCATTGTATTCAATCCAATTCATTATGCTCATTTATACTTATCAGTTTATATCTATTGATTGTATATAATAATCATACATACATATTTTGTTACTTTAGTCATAGTTTAGAATTTGGCAATATCACGCACAAGAATTTTTTTTTGAAAATGTTGCTTCTGTAATGCCTACATTTATCTACCCAATCTCTGTTATATACAGTGTTATCCCCAAAGTACGCACCATGTGGGAAATTTTTTCGACAAAAAGTTATTCTTGTTTAAAGTTTGTGCATTCCCTGAAACTGAACATGCACTAACAAAATACAGTAAAATACACGTAATATGCGAGGAGCCTTCAGATATTTGATTTTGAGACAAAAGTAAAGTACTCATAATAAAAGGTGTTCAACATTGAAAAATACATCTAGATTTAACGTCATGGCCATCTAAGTCAAGTTTCATTTTTTCCCCTTTTATTTGAGGGTACGAAAAAAAATTACTAAAACGATAAATAGATATCATCCTGTATACGACGGTTCATTTCAAAAGCTTGTAATATTACGAATTACACAGCTGTGGTATTAACCACGGACAATTTTTTCGAAGAGTGAAATAATTTTCAAAGTTTTTGGTTATTTTTATTTTTTGTTAACACACAAATCATACAGTATTGTAACAGGTAGGTACAGGTATTCAGTAGGACTGGAAGTGTATTTTGTAAAAAGGTGAATAGACCAAAACAGTAGGAAAATGGATTTCTCATTATGGTATTAATCATAGAAAACCCCCATACAAGTCAACGTATGATCCAGAAAGATACAGGGATATGCAGACGGTGCATTTATAGGGCAATAAAAAAATACAAATTCCATCCGTACCGTATTCAGATGCACCAGGAATTATATGAAATAGACTTCCGCCGAAGAAATGAGTTTTGTCTATGGTTTCGTGAGGATGAACATTTTCTGGATTCATGATAGTTCAATGTTGTTTATTTTATAGGTATAAATTATTAGGAAAGAAACAACTTTTTGCTGAGTTATTCTTAGAAAGTTCCAGATGCACCCCAAAATTCAAAACATAAGTTATTTTCCAAGCAAAAACTAACTGCGGCGTCAAATTTCGATTATATCTGGTGCGAACTTTGGTGCTGTCACTGTATGAATAACTGTTATTGTCGAATTTGATCAGTTCATCACAATTCCACCTCGTGAAAAGATTATCATTTGTTCACGCACCAGGCAGGTGGAAACTTAATTCAATTTACAGCCTTTGTCAACCAGCTAAAGAGTTCGAGTTGTTTCGAATAATCAACGTTATTTAAATATATCATTGTTCAAATAAGTTCACTCATATATTGTCAAATTTATATTTTGTGAGATCAAACTGGGAAAATATCATACATAAATAGTATCCGAACAAACATTTATATGCTTCAGCTTATAACGACAGCTTGAAACATCTATAAATATGGTAACAAATCAGTGCTGTCAGTCCTATCTGAAAGGCTATCAATTTATCAAGAATCAAAAATGAGAAACTTCAATAGATTGAAACGATTTGAATTCTACTCTAATACTGCCACTGAGGGCTATTTTTTTCCGTGTTCTGTTCGACATAAACTTCATTTGTGATTCACTGTTTGGAACCTTTGGTGTAGAAATGAATATTACTGGAGTTTCATCTTAACATCAAACCGTTATTTTTAACACCTCGACACGTGTTTCGATCACCAAGTAATCATCTTCAAGAAAGTAATCTTCCTCTTGAAGATGATTGGTGTTGGGATCAATATTCATAAACGGTAATATTCATAAACTTCATTGCATCATGAATAAGCAGTTGGAAATCGTGCCTCTGAATCAAAAGAGGAGATGAATGAAGTTATTATTTCCACCCAATCTAATATTTGAAACCGGAGCCTGTAAACAAAGCATTTGTAAATCAACATCAGCATTATTTTAACCGCCATAGGTCTACTTCGTTGTGCTGTGTTGAATCATAAGTGTAAATTTCACTCAACGTTTCTGAAAGGACAGTTGTGCCTCAGTATTAGTAAGCTTACACGCTGTACAGCGCTCCGATGCTAGATCCCTTGCCATTGTATTTTTTGTCCATCAATCACTATATTTCAACTGATTTTACAAGATTTGCCTCGCTCTGGTCAGCCATCTACACCCTCAATGGAACTTGACATTGCTGAAGTGAAAGAAATGGTGACTGAAAGTTTATGTTGCAGTCCGAGATAGCGGCTGATATTTTCATATCTCACGAATCAGTAAGAACCATTTTGAACATTTTTTCTGGCATGAAAGCGGTGCTGCTCAACTAGTGCCAAAAAACCTAATCCTGCCAAAAGACCTGAATCTTCTGTGAAAACTCAATTGCTTAAAGGCCACTGAAAATATATTGGAATGAGTCAATTCCGTTTTTACATTGAGGAAACACATCGTAACTGGTGATGAGACAGGTTTATGAATTTGTTTATGCACTTGCTAATGACTTTGCAGTCATTAGCAAGTGGTGTCTTCCAACTGATCCGAAACCATAAAAAGCTCGTCCACGATAACCACGATGTTGTACACTTGGAATTTTTGCCCAGAAGGTGAGAAAATAGATAAAGAAAATTATCTGAGCATCGTGCGGCTGTTGAGAAAACCAATTCGTTGAAGAAGATCAGATATGTGAAAAAAAAACCTATAAATTTTTGTATCACGATAACGCATCATCTCACAAGGCTATAGTTTGATGGTGATGTTTATATGATTGGGTTCACAGTTTTATTTCGAAAAGGGAAGGAGATACAATGAATTTGGATGTATATTTTGAGTTTCATTGCCCAACTCCCGGTACTTTTGTGACATAGTAGTATTTTGACCATTTCCCCTCGCGTACTTCAATAAAATGGTACTTCTCAATTGACTTTCCATTGCTACTATTTGAGCTCCATTTGCACTGAATTTTTATTTCGTTTCCGGTGAAACGCAACAGAAATCTGTTATACCTGTTTCGACTCACCTGCCTTATCCAGTTGGCCGCCAACATCAGATGATAATCATGGATCCAGATCAGTGGAATATCTGCAGAAACTCTCGGAAGCGACGTCAATCCTTTGAGAGTGCATTCCGCAAACTGTTTATTGGCTTTCACATAAGATTTCCAATGTTCACCCTTGAAGGATGCTCTATCTGGCATGGAATGGAATAATGGCCAGAAGGTGGCGTTGCAGCAGCCGTTGTAGTAAGAATCGAAAATCGCCGGGTCCATTTGTACTGCTATCACCTGAAATATAATGAAATGATATCGATCGATTATACTGAAAGTGTATGCAAATTGTTGTTCTAATCTTGGACTCATCGATGGGACTGGTGACAGAGACTTAACTACCTTGAAAATTCCTCAATTCATTTATGTGGTGTTTGGATATGATCAGGATGATTTTTATTGAAAAATCGACCTGAAGAATAATTCAAAAAATCGAAACTGGAACAAAAAGTATGTTCTGGAATCCAAATGGAATGATGAGACAAGTGTGCTGTCATCAGCAAAGAAATATATTAGATTCTTGGTTCTTTCCAATATGTCGTTGATATACAATAAAAAGAGAGTTGGAGACAATATGGATCCCTGGGGAAAACCAGCGTTTATGGTGAAAGTATTCGAGAGATATTCATCGACAGACCATCGGGCACAATACATTGTCATAGGCAATAGTATGAATCCAACTAATATACCCCAACCGGTTAAGAGACGATTTATATCGATGAAAGGAGTAGATAAGTATAAACGTCATTTAACCAGTGTGGATTGGAGTCTATTTTGCTCAGGTTTGTCAAATGTAGATCTTTTGGCGAACTTTTTTGTCAATACATTTCATAACTTAAGTTTAAAATGTTTTCCTCGAGAAAATAATAATCAAAATAATAAGCATTATCCACTGTCTTGGTTTACAGACGACTTGAAATATCTGAGACATCAACTTTCTGTTTTGAAGTTGGTAAATGATGTGACAAAACATCCACTTTACTTGGAAAAGAACTGTCCTGCACCGTGCAGTTCTTTCTATTTGCACCCTGTTACTCATTTTGATGTCTTTTCAATCATAACGTCTTTAAAAAATTCTAATTGTCTTGATATTCATGAACTAAACAGTCGAATCTTGAAGAAAACCAATTTAATTGCTGTAAAACCTTTCACTGAGCTCATAAATATTGTGTTTAATACTGGTATAGAATACTGGAATAGAACTGGCCGATACTTGATGAAAATCCATATTTAAAAAAACTAATCAATAGAGTTTATTCTATGATTTTCACTATAAGGGTTTTACAAAAACCGCGACACGTGTTTCGCTATACAATAGCTTCTTCAAGCAAGTTATGCTTGAAGAAGCATATAGTATACTCGCAAAACTTGTGTGAATTGAAAAAGTAGTAATATTTTCATTATTAATATATTGACGTAGATGACAAGAAAATATCTCCTAATTAAAATTGTCCTATATCCATGCATGAAAACGATATTGTTGATGTTTTTGACCTCTGATCGATTAGTGATGGAACACAAGTGCGTATTTATTGATCTGAGATAAGTTCAGAGTCGTTCAATACCTATTTATGACTCAATTTGTAAACAGACTATTGAGAAAATGTATCCACCTTTTAATGTGACTTTATCGAGCATACTATCATATCGTGATAGTGATAATAATAAATAATCATTTCGAAATTTCTTGCAGTCTGCACTTTGTGAAGGAAAATAATATTTTGTAAATATTCATGTGGAAAACATTCGATGATTCACAGCAAGAATATTTGAGTTTCATTTCCTATTTACATCGTTTTGATTCGTTTTGATACAAAGTTGTAGAATTATATTTCATCGTGAGTATTTGGCAGATCTGTCAGTTTGAATAGTTCGACTCGAGGGGTGGTTTCATGCATTATAATGAAAGCCAAAATTATAAACTTAGGTCACCTTATTTTTTCCGATAATTTGAAAATATTTGAACAAATTCAAAGAAAACTGTTTGAAGTTTTTCTCGGAAAAATATTGGAGCTTAGCGTCATTGTTCAGAAAATTTAAGAACATATTTACAAATTTGTTGTCGTAGTATTGAAAAAATGAAAGACATGATACTAGGACAGATAATAAAAGAAACAATGGTAAGTATTTCAGGTAAGTATTTAAATCATTTCAGAGTTATTGAAAACAAAATGTTCCTCACGAATGATCAGTAAACGAAAAGAAATATATAATACTACGTAGATGCTATACCTACATACTTTTTCTGATTTCAGACCAGCCGTGGGCGTTATGTCTGATGGATCTGATTCTGGAATTGGCTCGTCAGGGTTCTCCAGATGAATACCTGGCCATCCTACCCATAGTCCTCCACCATTTATCACCACTGGGGCAACTGCTGTTACAAGACCCCCAGCACTAAAAACATAAAAGACATTTTATTGTATCGGATAACGGATATTTTGAAATACTATCAAGGCTTTAAGTTTTTCGATAAAATAGCTGTGTAATGCTTTCTAAGTATTCATGACTTCCGCAAATAGTGAATTGAAGAGTTGATGGATCTTGATCATATTCCCAAAACTAAATGGTATCGATTGAGAACTTTAGAAGCATAGATATTTGGAGAAAATATGGATCCCTGGGGAAAACCAGCGTTTATGGTTAAGATATGATAAAAACTGTCACGGAAAAAAATCAGTGGTTTTGAAATTCTGCTTTGGGGATATTTCCTAAATGCAACTCATATTTGAAAGTACTGAGGACTGACTCTCAGCATGAAAAATGTCAACTCGTATGGGTTCCCAACTCCAAAAATTTTGCCAGCAGGAAAAGTTCACAAAAATTTCTGGAGACAAAACTCTGCTTTCCAGTAGAAATCCGAGTAGTTGGTTCACTAACTGAACACTGGGAATTACTGGAGTTGATGGAATGGATGAAATATTACGTTGAATGTCACATACAAACACCTACATGAAAAATTTCATCAACAACCAGTACAATAATGGTGGTACGTTATACTTATTGAGTTTTTGAGAGTTCTTCGGTACACTATACAATAGTATATATTCTGCAACACATCAGGCATCCAGAGATCCAACTTCGTTTCTGGTAGAGCGGTAGTGTCATCCAATTGTGATTTGAGTATATTTAAAACCGAATGATATTCAATAACTTCAATAACTATCATAAACAATCAGTCAAAATTTCAATGAGACATTTTTTCCAGTTTCATTGATATCATTTTTTGAAAAAAAAACTCATTGCCATTCTACTCTATCCTCTTGATAACGTTCTGCTGGAAAGTTCGTAGCCTAACAATTGGCTAATTATTTTGATGTGAATCGATTTTATTTTTCAATATAGTTGCCTCTGAGGGCGATACAACAAATTTTCGATACCATTTTTAGAGTACGATTTGTCTTTATCCTCAAAATAGGCCTCATCGACGCTGAATTTCTTTTCAGCGAGCTTTCTCTTGATGTTTGAGAATAGAAAATAGCCGCTGAGACTAGAGGACGTTTCTTTTGAAAGTAAGGTATGAATACTAGTAGTGTTATCTGTTAAATACTCATCATGCTCAATCATGTAGAGAAATTAATTTCAGTTACGAAAAACTTTATCCGAAACAACTGCTTCGAATAAGAAACACTGAATTGAACAAAAACTGCTTTTCCTTTTTTATTCACCAAAATATTATTCTTCATGTGTGAAATTTTGAAATCTCCTTTGAAGATATGATTTTCTTCTCAAAAATTTCGATTTGTTGAACTTATTTTCTTATTTACATAGCTCATATGATATTTTTGGATACGATTTCTGTATGTTCTGCCGGTTTGACCAATATATACCCTAGGATGAGTTCCACAATTCAATTCATATACTCCTGCTTTCTCTAACTTGAAAGTTTTGTCTTTTTTATCTTCAACTAATTTTCCCAACGTGTTTTACCTCTTCTATATGCAATTTTATTATCACTTTATTCAAAAATTGTGCTTCTGGAAGCAGTACTGACTTTGGATGGAAAGCAAAAGCAACAAAATTTATTTCAAGAAAGAATGTGTTCGTACACCATATGATGCATAATTAGAACTAATGAATTATTGTTGATACCCTGACATCTAATACGTCTTCAACGGTTATCTCTTGATACAAATGGCCTTGGAACTGTACATAAAGGAATTCATGAGGCAAAACATTGTTTTAGAAACACACAAGATTATTACTTGAAATACTATAGTCGGTCAAGGATAAAACTTAATCATTATCTTTTTTATGGAATTGGCGAATGCAATCAGGCGAATCGTTGGAATAAAGACACGTGCTCGATATTTGACGAGTGTTTAGTTCACAAAATATATTCATTTCGGTCTTTGCGGCAATTTATGTTTTATATAAATTTTGATAAGAAGTTGAACTGCACTCTGAACCTCAGGTTTCTCAGTTTGAGAATCGAAGTGTTCCAGTGTTGTTAACAACTACACTGCGCTCATTTGAAGAAATGTGCATATTCAGATTATTACGGAGAACAAATAACGCCAAACATTTGCATTTATTGTATGAGAACACATGAGAAACATGAAATTGAATATGAATTCAAAATTGATGATAGAAACTGCAATGATTTTTGAAAATGTTGGGTTGGACAAACTGGTCGATCCCTAAAACGAGTATCTTGTAAAATCAGATATATCAGAAGGTCGTCCTACTAATCTAATAGCTGTTATTTTGCATGCCAAATAATAACGTTATATTTTTGATTCAGGAAATCTGTTGAACTGGATGTTCAATCATATCGTGAAAAACTTTTAGATCAACTAAATTACTTTATTATACTAGAAAGGGTGAATTCGATAAGAGATAATCGAAACAATAAATGATGGTTTGACTTCCGTTATTACAAACTCATTTAGTGGATGACCTAATAATTATTATTTCTGGTTGAAAAAACAAAGTATTGTCATTTCCCGAACCGAAATGATCCATGCCACCCCAATATTCTATGTATTTTATGATGGTCTTGGGAGAAGTACCATAATGCTATATGGGCTGAAAAGTCCCTGATATAGATAGCGCTAGTCTTGATGCATTCTCCACTTTTTCAGTTAGTACTAACCTTCGAAAGAAAGTTGGAATTTCATGATATTCTACTCATGAGTTTATGAGTTACTGTGCTGAGAGTGACACTATTTTTGTTTGTTTCCAAATAATGTGTGTTTCAATTTTACACTGCTTCTTGATGGGAAAAAACCGTTGAAGCGACGCAATGGGTTGAAAAGTGTTAAAAGGACTCCGTTTCATCAGAAATGAGAGTTAAACGTTGGTTTTCTGACTTGAAACGTGGTCGTACAGACACCGATATTGCAGAATGCAGTGGACGTCAAAATGAGGCAGTAACATCAGAAACCAAAAAATCGTTTTGAATGAACCAAAAGTGAAGTTGCATAATTTACTTGACACTGTAAAGATATCAAAAGAACGTGATGGCTTTATATTGCATGAGCATTTGACTATGAGAAAACTCTGTTCAAAGTGGGTGCAACGCGAGCTCACTGTTGCCCAAAAACAAGAAAAACTCAATGGTTCTGAGCAGTGTTTGATCATGTTCAAACATAACATAACATAACCGGCATTTTTACGTCTATATGTGACAATGGATGAAACATGTATCCATCACTTCACTCCGGAATCAAAACGATCGACATGTGAGTGGTGAACAGCTGGTGAACCTCCTCCGAAGCGCTCGAAAGCACAACAATCGGCTGGAGAGGTTATGGCCTCGGCATTTAGGGTTGTGCGTGGTAAAATATTCATCAAATATCTTGAGAAGGGAAATACCATCAACTGTATATATTATATAGCGTAATTGGAGCCTTTGATTGCCGAAATTGCGGAAAAATGACCTTATTTGATGAAAAAGAAAGTGCTGCTTCATCAAGACAATGAACAGTGCCACAAATCAATGAAAACGATGGCAAAATTGCATGCATCGGCTTCGAATTGCTCCCGCATATACCATATTGCCAGATTGGGCTTCCAGCGAGTACTGGCTGGAAAACATTTCGCTCGAATGAAGAGGTATTGGTAAAACTGAGGCCTATTTTGAGGCAAAAGATAAATCGTTTCACAAAAGTCCTATCGAAATGTTAACGGCGTTGAAATGATTGAGTATATCTTAACAAAATATCTCGAATACTTTCTACATTATTTATTGTGCCCACACAAAAGCAAACTTGTTACTTGTCGCGAATAAAAAGCTTTTAAATCCATACAGAAGGAGACTCCATCATCAGACTTTTTAAGCGAAAAGTCAAGAATATCACAGAATTCTGGCATATCACAAATGGCAATTTACTTCAATATCTGTCCGAATCTTCTCACGAGATGAATGAGAACTGTATTTATTGAAAAAAAGTCTTGCATGTTCTTTTTTTTACCAAAAATAACCGCATCAACCGCAAAGGGTTATTAGTGAAGAAACAATTAGGTATGATTATATTTTATGTAATATATGAATAGATTTCAAAAAGGTTAGTAAAGAGTTCAAGTTCATCACGTCTAGGGCAGAATTGAGAGATGAGATTGGGAAGTCTTGCTTCTTATATTTCATATTCAAAAAACTGGGCACTCCAGGATAATGTGTTTCACGCCAGTGTTGGCTCGTGCATTGGAGAACAGGGGAGGCTTAAGTCATATAGACTATATACACACAGAAAAGCCCGCCGGAGGCGAGAAAATTTTCATGTTGTTGCACGCTTCGCTTAATACTAAAGTTAGGGCATGAGCATGATAATGTAAACACAGGGCCAACAAAAAAGTTTTTCTCGTTTAATGGAGCCGGTTAACCAATCGCATTTATCGTACCAACTAATATTGAATCCTCGATTTTGTGGATTATCTGACGACTTAATTGAAATCAAATTTGGTTGAGGCCTTCCCAGATTTTTTATAAAGTAAAATTTATTATCACAAGAGAAAGACTTGAAATTATTTGTCAGCAACCAATCGACTATATCGTCAGATTTTTTAATTTATTCCAACTTATATCCCTAATAAATGAAAAAAAAACTTACTGAAAAGTGAAAACCTGAAAACACCTCGAAATTGAAAGAAAACACTTTAGAAACACATTAAAAATATTACCAAAAAGCACTGCCTGTTTTATACACAAATAACAAATATTATCAAGAAACACTAAAACGATTTACCGGAATATTCTTCAGTCCCGGTCCCTCACGGTATCCCGTCCGAATAATTGAATAAAAAACAAACGCAGTCGTACACTAACGGAGACCAACTAGAGGCTAGCCTCCTCTGATGCTATAATTTCTGCAACTAAAATTACGAATCGGGACGTATGTCTCTGATTCGATCGGTCTCGTGAAGCCTGTGTTTTTTAAAGCGGTCGGAGGCTTGGCTCCCTTGCAACGTATGGCATTTATTATTTCGGGTTGATAGTTTATCCGTTATTCGGCAGTGTGGTACGTACTACGTAATGATTGATAGTGTTTTTTCGGGCATATTATGTATTGATGGTAAAGTAATGATACCCAAGCAGTTTCAGAAAAAAATAATAATAATTATTTGTCAATATCTTTCAATTTATTGCGATGAATAGCCTCAAATTTTATGGGGAGGCTAAGCCTCCCTTGCCTCCTCTGACGAGCCGCCGCTGTTTCACACTGTTGATTACACCACAAATATCACACTCCGCAGCATATTCTTTCTTCATAAGGTGTTGGTGTGTTGGTCTTGTGTGTCCGATTCTGAGACGAGTAAGAATGACGATGTCTTCGTTGGGCCGATTGGTGGTTCTGGATGTCGGGATTTATCTCACGTAATTATTCGATTCCATGACCATCCATCTTGCTTTCCAAGTGTTTGCTATCAGTTTTTTTTATACTATTGAAGTAATCTGAGTTGGCAATTAGTTCAAACAATGTTGGGGAAGGAGTAACTGAACAGTCCGACCGACTGCATCGACTTTCTCATTGCCTCTGATTCCAGTATGCGAAGGTTTCCAGATTAGTTTAGTATATTTTTGGATCTGCATTAGCTTGGATACCCTTTCCTTTATACGGACAAGTAGTGAATTGCTTGGGTATGACTGTCTGATTCCATGAATTGCGCTGAGAGAATCGGTGATAACAGAGTTGCCTTCCAGTATTTCACAGTGTGCTACGGCTTGATCTATGACGTATAATTCACCTGTACAAACACTACCGATTGACGGCAGACTGTAAGCATGCTTCGTATCTCTTGTGATGACCGCTGCTCCTACACAAACAGAAGATTTCGAACCATCTGTGTATAAGTGATTGTAGTTGGAGGTTATTTCAGAGAAAGTTTTTTTGATAAAACTTGGTGTGATATCATTTTTCCTGTGAGCGGAGAGTTGGGTGTTACAGGATGGGATCTTTATAGTCCATGGTGGCGGAGAGCAGAACCAAGTGACATGACATTTTTAGGGACTACAGGATTATTAAGAATTCTTGACGTTTTTGCGTTGAGTGGTAGTGCACCTTTATTACTTTGATCGAAAAGAAGGGGAAATCTGTTACTGAAGGTATATTGATAGGCGGGGTTTTTTATATTATCAGAGATTCCTGCAGCATACGTCATTCTCATGTATTCACGGCGAAGATCGAGAGGCTGTTCTCCTGCTTCGATAAGTAAACTTACCACTGGACTACCATGGTATGCTCCTAAGGCTATCCTGATGGCGGCATGTTGAATGACATCAAGCTCTTTAAGAGCTGTTCCATTTGCAGTAGAGTGGGCAATACATCCGTATTCTATTTTAGACCTTATTAGCGCCCGATAGATGGTTAACAAACTATTGCAGTCCGCGCTCCCCAGGTGTGATTTGACAAGACCTTCATTAGGTTCAAACCATTTTGACAAGATTTCTTAACATTGCGAATATTAGCGTTCCAATTTAGTTTGTAGTCAAACGTCATCCCAAGAACTTTGTTTCCTCAACGAATTCTAACTGCTGTCCATTTAGCGTTAAGTTTGGGAAATTGCATGTTCTTATTTTTCTATTTTGTATTCAGTGTAGTCGTTAGAAATATTTGAATATAATGAACGAATTTTTTTTTCTCCTGGAGGACATCAGAATGTTTTGAAAGTCAATAAACAACATTGACATATTTCACATTTCAGAACTTCTAGCACATCTATCGAAAACGTTTGGAAACAAAGTGGAGTGAAGAAAAAACTAGGAATATCAATTCTGAAGACTGAGGCAGATTTGAGCCTCCAAAACGTTAAGATAAGTATCTGTAGGATTTATCGACAAATATAGTTGAATTAATATGTTTTCGTGTGAGAAATGTAAATTCACACGTGTTAATTCTTATGCGGGGACATTTATGAATATCAAAAAAAGTATAGTCCCTGCGTTAGATCCTTGCGGTACTTCTGCTGTTAAAATATAAGGTGTAGAAAAACATTTTCAAAATGAAAAATTCTCAACTATGAATATAGGTAATGATGGTGCCTTTTAAACTAGTTGGTATTTGTAATTTTTGACTTACCTAGCTTTCCTAACCAACTTCCCTTCCTTATCTCGTTGAAGAACAAAAGGCAGGCGATTGGAGACAACGATCATGCTCCCCGACGAGGCCACCACATCTGCGGTCATTTCAAAAGAATTAGTAAACTATTACAGATCGATAAATTGAATATTCATAAAGTTATTCTCATAACGCCACCAAAAATCAATCAATCAATTATAGACGTGTAGCGAACTCGATATAAACAATCACCAGCACATTCCTCAGTCTCAGAGTGACCAACCAAGGGAGGTCAGTACAGTTTATCGGGAAATAATAATAGTTCATCAATCGAAACAAACAAAGTGGTAAAACAGTCGTTTATCCCGACTTTCTAGTAGGTACTAAACGCTTGGTAGTACCAAAATGTACGCGGTGTAAATTGATTGATAGTCCGATGTACTGCTGATCGCGGATCCACACTAATGTTATATAGTTCACAGAAATATCATTGTCAAAATCGCTTGATTTTATCAAGACAATAAAAAGATTAGGTATGTATGTTTACTTCTATAAAAACAAGGACGGAACAACATGGATCTTGTGAAATGAGTTAATCTTAACATGAATCTACAATATTACTGGAGTTTTATCCCAACACCAAACCGTTATTTTTAACACCCCGACACGAGTTTCAATCACCACGTGATTATCTTCAAGGGATAGATTGAACCGTTTCATCAATCTGAATGAATAAGAAAAATCGAAACAAAATCATAGTTTTTGTGTTAGAATGAATTACTCATACTATACATTGACACTGAGATTTTCCGAGAAGTACCTCAAACAATTCATTACAGCAAATATATTTTCCAGTTTTTGTGATCGCAGTCTTCGAGTTCCAATTCATGTCTGATGTTTCGCAATTGGAGTACTCTCCAATTGTCAAATTGCAAGTATTGTCTAATACTTTTGTAACATACATCAGTTATAATCGACCAATTGTTACAGTAATATCGTCAGAGGCAAAATCGGATATATCTATTACCGAAGTGTTTTATTTAAATATTTAGAGATATATTGAAGAAGAAATATATTGAAAATTCATCAGAGAAGAAAGTAATACAAATCATGAAATTATGAAACAACAAAAAATAATTGGCGCTCTGCGGCGATTTCATTGATTCCAGTGGCATAGTTACTTTTTCAGCTCCAAGAAAACCTGGAAAAACCTACAGTACCACATCATCTAAAGATTTTGATATGCCAATGTCTTCTCTTCCATAAAACAAAATGTAGGGTGTCTTCAGAGGCTCCAATAAATTCAAACATCGCCAGAACACTTCGTGACACGACTGTCAAACTTAAACCAGTCCGTTTCGTCTTTGACCAAGGCGGAATAATGACCAAATTCAACGCCAGAACCACAGTGAACAATGACTGCATGAAGATTATAATAGAGGTCTGCTAGATTGAATTGTTCATCTATTTCGAACTTTCGTAAGAGTTTGGTGCATTCGTCAGAGGTTGAGTCGTTTTTGAAGATCATCAGTGTCATTATTAGATTGTCTGGTGCCTCACATATACTCGTTTTCTTATAATAGTCAGTTGGTTTGGCACATGTTTGGCACTACAGTTGATCATCACCTGTTAAAAGTTTCATTTTCAGATGATTTGACAATAAGCTTTGCACGGACTGGTTATCAGTCATATTAGGAAACGCTAGTTGAAGTTCCAGAAAATCACATATGTTTTTTCTACCTCTTGAACATTTACTAAGTGGGGATTTTTTCAGCAAAAGATCTACAAACACAAGACGCGATAGACAGTACTGCTCGAAGTGAAATAAAACATATAATTCCGCACTTTTAATAATTTGTAATGGAGTTCTAGACAAAATGTGATGAATAAACATGAAGATTACGACCAGATAAACTGCAGTGAAAGACAGAAAAAGAATCTTGTCGGCGGTCGATATCAACTGACCGCCTAAGGGAGCCTCGTTCACCTTCGATATTCGAGGATTGAGTTTTCTGACAATCCCATAGATTCTGTACAAAAATTATTATTGGGGGTCTTCATCAATGCAACAGAATGTGAAACCATTATTTCCAGGAATTTTGTGTTTGTTTTGGAGATTGTGTACAGTCATCTCATCATTGAATTCTGAGAATTTTCTAAAAATGAATTCATTCAGTATTTTGTCAAAATGAACTACTTTGCTTTCGAGTGAATCTGATCTTGAGAAATATTTTTTTGGGAAAAACATCAACAGATAAGGAATTGTTTACCAAAACAACAATATTGAATAGCGGTGACCTCATTTTGATTGTACTAAAAAATATTGATCGTATTGGAGTTTTATCAGTATAGTGTTTTCATTTTCAAGTTTGTAGAACAATTGGAGTATTTTTGAGACATCACTGATAAACGCTCATGGTTTGAGTTTTATTTTTCGAAGTAAACAGAAATAGTTCTGAATTTGGTTTTATGAACCTCCCTCTCAAATATCTATATACTAAGAGAAAAATGCTGATTTTTGGAACTAGGTATATATTAAATCAAGGATAGAGTCGTATTTCGTGAAAGGAGCGTAAAATAAAGTGGAAATTTTATCTTGACATAAAGTAATCATTAATTGTAGAAGATATTGTATATGTAATGACACACTACGTAAACGTTTTGCAAGGTGAGCAAAGAACTATTCAATTGGGATTTTGAGAAATGCTGATTTTGAAATATCTAGTTAATTTAGTCGTCTATGTGAAGGAATATATGATCTATTCAGTTGTATTTGTGTATTCAAACATTTGCAGATCTTTCCAGTCTGATTAGCAATAAATGAAAAGATGGTGAAATTTCCTTCGAAAGTTCAAACAACTAAACATTTAGTCAACTCTAAAGATGGAATCAACAAGTTATCAAAAAGTGGAATTCAGAAACTCATTTGCAATGATTGTGAAGCTTCGTACATTGGAAGGACTTATAGACCTTTGAGAGTTCATATAATAACAATTATCGAAAATCATCGACTTTATGTTGATGATAGACACTACTTTGCACNAGACAGCACGTCTAAAACATAAAGATGAACCATATATATCTTAATCTGACGCGCTTGAGTATTTCAAAATGACGATTTTTTGCACGTTATGATGATGGCCGCGAGTTTGCGTCAGATCGAAATCGTCAGATTATTGAATGAGAGCTTTTTTTTGTTGCTCTTAACACCCCCTTAGAAAATCTGACGCGCTCGATTATTTTTTTTTTTCATTTTCAACCCTTACGTACAACCACCCACATCATGCAAACGATCAGATTAACATTCCAACATTATTAAAACTATGTAGGACATTGATGGTATCAATATCTGACGCGCTCGAATATGTCCATGCAACAGTTTTTTTTTCCTTTTTTATTATTTTTTGGCGGTTTCCCCCCCGGTTGAAAGGTTTTTTTTTTTTTACCTTTTTTTCTTCTTATTATCTAAGCTTTTCAACCTGATATGTCTCAATGACGCTCGAGTAAATCCCCATTTTGCATCGTGGGCTCCCCTGCTATAGCAAATGCTGATTGGTTGTTTTTGCGATGGTTACGACAGAATAAATTTGATATCAAATAAAAATATTCATAAAAATGTTTCGAAATAGACGTGTCCATGTCGTAAAAACAATCGAAACTCCTTTGTTACTGATTTCAAATGAAATTGAGTGCATTCGGTATGTAATTTTTCTACAGTTGAAGAAATGAAGGCAAAATAGACGTTCTGAAAACAACACAATCAAACAGAGATCAAATATGTATGTAGAGGAGAGATACATTCGTACTAGAAAATAAATATTTCGAAATAAAACATCGAAATATTTATCTCTCCCAAATACCTACACTGTAGGTTCTGGTAAATGCCTGCCGGAAAACAACTGCTTTTCCGGATAATACCATGCTGTGGTACCTCGAAACCGTTCTGTGGCTGATCTGCGAGACTAACATATCTTGCATATACGGCTGTCGGATATATTTCAATATCCAGCGTGGTATTAGCTAGGGTAGTAATTGTTTTCCGGCAGGCATTCACCAGAAAATACGGTGTTGGTAGTTGGGAGTGATGAATATTTGATTCCATTTCGAAACATACTCAAACTTTTATTGACGATTGAGTTTGAAATGAGTGAAGCTCTCGCAAACTGTTCTCTAATACGAGTGTCGTAGTCAACGTAAGTCGAGTCATAAATTCTGCATTTTCATATATTTCCTGAGTAATTCATTGTTCCACATGATACAATGTCAAAAAGTAGAGGAAAATTTTATTTTATGGGATACTCACGGATTTTCGCGATTTTTTCTGTGATGATATTACGTGATGGTAGGAATTCAGGACACTTCTTATTTTTTGTCGGACTCAATTAGTTTTCGAGATATATTCAGGAAACTCGGCAATAAGTGATTGAAAAGAGATAGAAAAACGTGCGATGATATGGAAGAAGTTGTTTTAAATAAAAAAGTATGTAAATTGCAATCGTTTATTGCTTTTAAAAAAAGGTAAAATATGACATCATACAAACTTTGACAGGCTATATCTCGAAAACTGATTGAGTCCGACAAAAAATAAAAAGTGTTCTGAATTCCTACCATCATGTAGTATCATCCCAGGAAAAATCGCGAAAATCCGTGAGTATCCCATAAAGTAAAATTTAGCCAAAAGTAGTTTTCGTACTTTTTCGAAAAAATAAATTTGACTGGAACAAAATGCACATTATTACTAAATATAACTGTCTGTTAGAATGCTTGATTAACCTAAAAACCACCGGAAGAATTTTCATATGGTATAGTTCAATTATGTTTCCTGTGAATTGGTTATAATATGAAATGTTATCCGTATGTAGTCGGGGCGGCGGTGTTACCCGTCCTGAGCTGGGGATAAGAAAAACTGAATCATACTTTCCACAATACATCTTCTCATCTTTCTCAGCTTGAATACATTTGGTATTGAAGTTTTTACCGAATAGGCAGATCATTTCCAAATTTAACCGTGGAATTTTCCACGAATCAATGAAGTAGTCCAATATTCTAGTTGGGTTAGGTTAGTTACACCAGCGAAGTATAAATAAACAACTATTTAAAGCTTTCCACTCTATCTAC